AGGGGAGAGTGTTGTACCTTTGTCCACATTGTGTTGTACCTGTGGTCAGAGAACAAATTACCTTCGATTAAGAAGAAACAATACAATGAACGGAATCTTATTTATTACATGACGTATAAGATGACAAACATGATTACTTTACACTGTATGTATCAAATTTAATATTAAAAGACATTTATTTTGCTGGCGTAGTGATGTTCCAACCAAATCTGGTGAAGGCAGTTTTTTTATTATGTCGCCTTCGGAGACAAAAGAGACTTCCTCATCTAAATAGACAAATTTATTGCTTTCAATAACTTTTTATTTTATTTTAACATATAATCTACATCAATCACGCAGGGTTATTAGTGGAGTAACACACACAAGAATTTATTTTATTTACATTAAATATATGTATATAAACGTAAATCTTTTAAATAATTTATTACATGGTCAGTGTTTATGGTTAAAGTGGTTTTGATGTCATCTGAGATTCCATATTTTCTTCTTGTTTCTTCGTGGTACCGGCAGTCAATCAGAATATACTTCACCGTCAATGGGGGAGAACAGTTTTTGCAGGTTGGAGAAGATTCTTTGTTGATTAAGAATTTATGGGTCAGTGCAGTGTGTCCAATTCTTAGTCGGTTAATTATTACTGGGTTCCTTCTATTGGATGGCTTATTCAAGATGGTCTTCACAAGGGGATAAATCTCATATAGTTTGGTTTCTGAATCTTTCCAGTAGTCTTGCCATATGTTTATACAGTGGTCTTTAATTAGGTTTTTGAGATCGGAGTATGGATAATTTTTTGATTTGTTTGTGTATTGTGAGTTTATTCGACTTGTGTTTGCTAGGCTGTCCACTTTCTCATTTCCAGCTATTCCTACATGCGACGGTACCCAGATAAATGCTGCCTCTTTTCGATTCGATTGAATTATATTTATCTCATTTTTTATAGCCCGAAATATTGGATTTGTAGGGTATATTTGTTTTACCCCTAATAGAGCATTTAATGAGTCGGTGATGATGACACAATACATTTATTCTCACTATGCGTTTTAAAGAAAATTAAGGCTTCTAAAATGGCTGTGGTCTCGCCTGTGAGGATGCAGCAGTTTGTAGGTATGGCTATAGTGTGAGAAGTGTATTTACATACTATTGTAAATGCAGCAGCATGTCCGTCATGAGCTTTAGAGGCATCACTGAAAATTTGGAGATAATTAGGATAATGAGAAATCACTTCGGAGTACAAGTGTTGAATGAAAATCGGATTTGTAGTTGATTTGGGGTATTTTGTGAGGGTTAAGTCAATGTTAAGTGGTTGGATTGTCCATGGAGGAAAATTTACACTAACTTGTAGAGATTGATTTAGCTTATCCGTTTCAAAGTTAGAATTTATTCGTTCTATAAGGGGAGTACTATTTTTAGTTGATTTTGTAGAACCAATACTGGGATGGCAAATTTGGGAGAATACTGGATGTTGTTTCTGTGCTGATATTTTACCTATATAGTTTAGGGATAGTTGTTGGCGTCTAATATACAGAAGGGGTTCTCTCGCTAAAACTTGTAAGCTACTAATAGGGCTAGTTCTGAAGGCACCCAGTGCTAATCTCAAAGCTATAGATTGTATGCTATTTGGTTTTTTAAGCAGTTTTGCTTGCAGCACCGTAAGATATGCAACCGTAATCTAATTTACTTCCAATAAGTGACTTGTAAAGGCTAATTAATATTTTACAGTCGGCACCCCAAAATTTATTAGATAATATTTTAAGTATGTTTAACCGGTTTTGGCATGCTTGTTGTAATTTATTAATATGCACATTCCAATTTAATTTTTTATCGAAAGTTAGGCCTAAAAAACTTACTTCCGTTGACTGCTTTATAGGTAAATCATTTAAAGTTAAATTAATTGTATGGTGAGTGTTATTTTTACTAAAAATTATGTATCGAGTTTTTTCTGCAGAAAATAAATCCGGTTTGTAATGCCCAGTTTTGAAGTCTTTGAAAGCCCAAATATTTGTTGCTGAAACCAGGTTATTAGATTTGGTGTAGATAACAATATCATCCGCGTAAATGCTAGCTTTAATAGGAGCTCTAATTACATTTATGATGCTATTAAAAGCCACTAAAAATAGGGTTGGACTTAAAATGGATCCTTGAGGGATTCCATTTTCTAGCATTTTTGGAGAACTTGTGATTCCATTTATTCCAACTTGTATAGAACGATTACTTAAGAATTTTTTTATAAAAACAAGCATATTACCTTGAATTCCATAATTATTAAGTGTTTCCATGTCCTATCAAAAGCCTGGGTTATGTCAAAGAATATTGCAATCAATTTCTGACAGTTTGAGGTTTGTAGTGAAATATGATTATCTAATGTAGATCGTCCTTTGCGAAAACCACTCTGAAATGGAGTAAGGAGATCTTTTGTTTCTAAATACCATGTTAGACGGAGATTTAATTTTTTTTCCAGTAATTTGCACATGCTGCATGTGAGAGAAATAGGACGGTACGATGAGGGTATATCTTTGGGCTTATTGGGATTAATAACGGGAATAGTTATTGCCTGAGACCAGAGTTTTGGAAATTTATGTTTTAAAAAACAGGTATTGAATAAATCCAACAATATTATTTGTGCTCTGAAAGGTAGGTGTTTTATGAATAAGTATTGGTGGAATATCATCTTGTCCTGGGAATGTATTTTTGGAGTTTAGTTTCCAATAACTGTTTTTAAATATTTGACCATGTATTCGTTATCTAAAACCTCAACTATCTTGGCAACATAGTGTGCAATATTCTTTTTACTGGCTAGTTTTACGAGAACAAAATCACCTTCTTTTAACTTAGAAGAGCTAAATATTTTTTCACTTTCCTGTTGCTCTAATGAATAATTTTCATTTTCGTTTGCCAGAAAAATTTCCAAATCCTCGTCATTTGAATCCTTTGTTATATTTTTTATCTTTTCGTCAGATTTATCTGAACTATCGCAGAGAACCTTCCTTTTGACTGACTTTGGTTTTTTCACCGTACTTTGCAATAGTTTCTCTTTCTCCGGGGTGTTTATCAAAATTCTTGTTTTACCACGCTTCCGCCTCTTTTGAGAAGTCTTTCGAGCTACGGCTTTGAAAAATGGGCGCACTACAAACGGGCTTCTGAAGTCAGCGTTATTTGCCTTGTTGCCATTAGACTGCAGTCAAGTTTGCTGTTGATGGATTTGCGGATAGCTGAAGGCTTGATGAGCAAGATGCGGTATTAGAATTCTCTTCTGATTCTGGATTTGGGCAATTTGTTACATAGGAGGCTAGATATTCGTTGTCGCCAAATACATTTTCAATAACCGGCCATATCCCTGTCTTTTCAAATCCTTTAACAATGTGTGCAGGGGTAAATGCTTTTGCAAATGCCTTGCCCACAAGTTCAGCTACGTCATACAAGCATACAGTACGTCCAGAATGGGTCATCACCCACTCATTAGCTATGGTGTTGTAGTAGGTTTTGTCTGGTCCAAAAACAGTTCTGTCAAGAGGTTGAGTTCTGTGCGAGGTGTGTGGTGGCAACGTTAATAGCATATTGTTTTCATTCGCCAAATGAATCACGGAAACTGTAATATGGGACTCGTGATTATCGAGTATTAGTAGCACTTTTTCTTGCTCTCTCCGCTTAACATGGGCTATAAAATGCTGTAAGTAGTGTAAAAAAAGCTTCTTGTTTGACTTCGCAATTGAACCCGGTGGTGCACCATGTAGTATGTGGCTCTTGAAAAGCACGTGAGGGAATATCAACATGAGCGGCACATGGTTATCGATGGCATTAACCGCAGCAATCAAAGTTACATTGATCCCTCTTTCTCCAAATGCCATACTACCCAGTTGCTTTACACCTTTTAAGGCTATTATCTTAGGTGAGGCAAGGACTGAAGAATTCCCGGTTTTATCTAAATTATAGATATTGGTAGGGGAAAACTGATAGCATGACATTACTGTTTTAAGATTGTTGAAAAAAGCTTGAATATTTTCTTTGTTAAAACTGGTTGACCTTGCCAGGCTTGTAGCCTCGGGTTTCCGTAACGACAAGGATATATGCCGATTCATGAAGTGTCTTAGCCATTTTTTGCCTGCAGTTGCATTTGAAGCCAAATTGTCTGGTATTTTTATCTTGTTTTTACGTGCGTATTGAAATGCTAAGAATCTTGCATCTTTTTTGTGAGTGTATAATGAAACGACACTGTCTGTGTCAAGGACTGCTCCAACTGTGAGTCTTGTTCAAGTGAAAACACTTTTTTAACATCGTTGTTTGCGTTGTATTCGAATATAGGACGTTCGGACTTTACATGAATTCGAATATGATTAGATAATGTTGTCGAGCCGAAATCTTATTTTCGAGGATGTCTTTGAAGCAAAACAACTATTGTACCGACCTCAAGTGGTCAATAACAGAACGTTAAAGCAAAAATTCTTTCCAATACGGAGAAAACAACAATTTTAACGACAGTATCCAAAGGTACAAACGCCCTAAGGTACAACACTTTCCCCTATACTGGTCTACAATTTTGATCTTTCGGGTTCCAATTATTATTTTGTTACTGCGCTTTTTGTTTTTCCACTTTGTCGAACATGCTTGTTTTTTTTTCTTTTAATTAAAATCATATTTATAAAATATCAAATTTATACTTATAAATTATATATTTTTGAACACCCACCGTATAATATTCATTTCTGTATTATAAATATCTAATACCTTTATCAAAAATAAGTAAAAGTGTACTTAATTTGTCATTAAATTCAATATAACATTGAATATGGCATTCGACATTTATCACTCTAATAAAAACTGAAAATTCGCTTTGATACATTTTTTTTTGGCAAGCTTCGCGATGTATTTATCTGTGCCCTGGCCTTGTTAAAAAATAATAAAAAATGATTATAAATAGAAGTCGAATTACACAAATATTGATTTTGGTACATTGCATTGGTTGGATCTGAGTGGATATATCTATACAAGATTCTTTTAATCGGGACAGTTGTGCTGGACATTTGAAGTTATTAGATAGGTATACAAATTTTATAAACTTTTATAGTAAAAGTTAAACTTTTCATTATTTCCTGTTAAAAGCTACGAATTAATAAAAGCTACATTAATGGCTGGTTATAGTTACAGTAAAAACAAGTAAAAAGGGTTAAAAAAGTGCCATAACTTTAATTTTATTTCACGATTTCCATAAGATAATACAGTTGCTTAGTGCAATTAGTCCACACCTTTACCGAAAATAAAATATCGTGTCGTCTTTGACAACAGATGAACTGTAATAATTACAAATCAATTTGACGTGGCGTTAATACATTCCTTAATAGTGCAAATAATTAGTTTTGATTTAATTTATTTTTAGTTGTTTCTAGTATTATTATTATCCAGATTTAGCCATACTGCTCTCACTCCCTCTAAGGGGAAAATTCACTCATCCCAGATACCTATGGTATCAAAAGGATTCAGCTCTGGTGGGCTCTTTCCGTGTTATCGAAATCTTGTTTCCGTTGTTATGTTTTTTTATTAGGTTCTTCGGAATGACTCTAGTAGTAGAAAGAATAATAGGTATTGTTTGGATATGGGTTTTATCTCCATTGTCTTTGTATTTGAATTTCCATGTCTCTGCACTTAACAATCTTTTCATTATATTTAACACGCATATTATTGTTGTTCGGTATCGCCACATCAATTAGTGTTGTTTGGGTATGACGGTACCCAGATACTATTTGGTTTACCACTTCGATGTCATTGATTCCGACAATTTCTGATTGTTGTTTTTGATTTATTCATGGGCAGTCCTGCTTCAAAAACTCACTCGCTTTTATCGCTCTAGCAGCTCCATAAATTCTTCTGGAGTCGGCAAAAGCATTGTATCATCTACGTACCTTAAGTTGTTAACTCTTTTACTGCCAATTTATTCTCCATAGATATATATATATATATATATATATATATATATATATATATATATATATATATATATATATATAAAACTCGATGGGGTTTCTCAGGCATCTTTGTCTTACGCTTTTACCAATCCTAAACGATTTTGAAAGTTCTCCATATACCCTCATTTTTCTGAGTTTTCTACGTACATGTTCTCTAGTAATACGACTAAATGTTCTTCTTTAATGTAATAAAACAAATACACGTATGTGCTGATACTGAATTCCCATAATTTTTTCGGTAACCCGTCTTAAGTTCAAAATTTATTATCTGGTTGTACTTCCTGGCAAAAATCCTGCTTGTTCTTTTGGTATTTCAGGGAACGATTATGGCTTAAGTCTATCTAAGATAATCTGCAGAATGCAGAATGGATCTTTTTTGTGGATTGCTACATAAACTGAGATTCTCCAGTTCTCCAGCCACTTACTTCTATGCTTTGGCAGATCCTGTAGATTATGTCTACTTCCACTTTAACTGTTCGGGATATATAATTGCTATATTCGGGGCTTTAGTCACTTTCAGCTTTTTGAGTGCTGCTTATACTTCTGATTTTATACTTATGACTTTAATTCAATATCATCCGCTGTGTTTGTGGTGGCTATTGTTTTAAACAACTTAAAACAATTAATTTAAATACTTCTTTTTACTATCTCTGCAGGTTTCTCGTACTTGCTTATGTAGTTCATTATATTTTCCTCTCAGCCCCTCATCTCCACCTCGTTTCTTGTTTGTATTGTGTCCGTGTCTGGTCGGAAACCCATGTTTTCCTTCTCTCTGCTCATACATATCGTATGTTTTTGCTTGCCTCGGTGAATTTGTCTTTGGTTTTTGTCCACATCAGGTTTGAAGTGTCATCTGCGTTTATTTGAATTGTTTTTAAGTTCTGAATGACCATGCGTACAAATTCATAGTTTTTCTTTAGAGACCAGTTTAGGCGGGTGCTTTTTATGGAGTTTTTAATTTGAGACGAATATTGTCAAAAAGGAACTGGTTATCGCTATTGCAGTCTTCGCCTGGGTAAGTTTTTGGATCTTTTATGGTGCCTAAACGATTTTGACAGTTCTCCATGTACCCTCATTTTGCTGAGTTTTCTACGTCGTGTTCTCTAGTAATACGACTAGGTGTTTTGGAGTAGTTCCTGGCATAACTCCTGCCTGTTCTTCTGGTATTTCAGGGAGCAATTATGGCTTAAGTCTAAGATAATCTACAGAATGACTTTGTAAAAGGGCAATGGTGCGATAGTTGTCGCACACTTCTTTGGTTTTTTTTGCAGATTGGTACATAAACTGAGGTTCTCCAGTTTTCAAGCCACTTATTTGTATGCCATATGCTTTGGCAGATTCTGTAGATGATGTCAACTCCTTCTTTAACTGTTCAGGATATATACTTGCTATAATTGAGGCTTTACTCACTTTCAGCTTTTTGAGTACTGCTTGTACTTCTGGTTTTATATTTATTGGTCTAATTCAATATGATCTGCTGTAATTGTGGTGGTTATTATTTTAAACACCTTAGAACAATTAATTTAAGTACTTGTTTTTACTATCTCTGCATGTTTGTTCTACTTGCTTGTGTAGTTCATTATATTTTGCTCTGGAAGCTTTACTGTTCAAGCCCCGTGTCTTAACCTCGTTTTTTGCTTATATTCTATCCATGTCTGGACTGAAATCCACGTTTTCCTTTTCCCTGCTCGTACATATTTTATGTTTTTGCTTGCCTCGGTGAGTTTGTCTCTAGTTTTTGTCCACATCAGTTTTGGAGTGTCATCTGCGTTTATTTGAATTTTCTTCAAGTTTTGAGTGACCATTTATATGAATTCATCGTTTTTCTTTAGAGTACAGTTTAGGCGGGTGCTTTTTATGGTCCGTTAAGTTTTTAAGAATGCAAAAAGGAAAAGTGTTGTTAACCACAATAATAACAGCCAAAATCAAATACCTCGGTCATGTCATGAGGAACGGCGAAAGATTTGGGTTGCTGCAATTACTTCTACAAGAAAAAGTAGAAGGAAAACGAGGATCAGGAAGGCGAAGGATTTCCTCATTGGCAAACACAGTGGGTAGGGAGATATCATCATTTGAATCATCATCACAAAGTTTGTCTTAATTAAAATCTTCTAACTATGTTTCATCAAAATCGAATTTTGGTCTGACAGTTTTCTTCATTTTCTTTGTTTTTTTTCTATTCTTATAAAGTTCGTCTTCAAAATCTTTCTAAAAATCTTTCTGTTTTGTTTCAGTTTTTTTTATTTTTTCCAATATTTTTGTTATTTTTGCAAGCTGTAAAATTTCGTTTCACTGCTTTCGCTTTTTGCTTCAACTCCCTTTTTTCTTTAGCATCTTGCAGGATATCTTTCATTCATGTCGAAGTCAGGATAATAGAATGTTGCTTTCTATTCTAACCTTTTTGTTTAGGATTGGTCCTGTTAGTTGGCATTGGTGAAATGTCGAGAATGTTTTTGAAAAATTTACTTTTCCTGTCGATGTCCCGGTCAAATGAGAATTTTTCCCGGTTTTTGTACTGTGGAAACTCCAGTTTCGTGCATATTATGGATAAGGTTCGGTGGAAAGTTATACTTAGTCATTACAGTGTCTAAATTTTTGTAAAACAAATCAATATTGTCTTTATTAAACGCTTTTACTCTGTTCAAGCTAGTGGCTTCCGGTTTTCTTAAACTAAACTAATTTTATGTCTGCTGATAAACCCATTTAATCAATCTATCCCGGCCAACTTGGTCTCTTTGCTAAAGTTGTGTTTAATTGATGTTTTTCAGCCAATTCGAAAGCCAGTCGCCTTAGTTCATTTGTAGTGATGCCATAAAATAGTTTTGATTGGCTAACCACATGCTCTGCTGAAATGCAAGTTTTGTTCTTGCTCTAGTGAAAAAACGCATTTCCGACCCAATCTCAGCTTACTACCATCGTTTGCCTTTAGCCTATCCCTTAATGTTGTTCGGGGTATGCCAACCATTGTAGCTGCTTTTTTTTGCGAGACACAATTTTGGCGAACTGCTTCAATAGCATTTTTGAGGTTTTCCTCCTTCCACATAGCCTTTTATGTTGTTCTGTTACGTGATCGCACCATCTGAAAATCACCAAAAAAAGTGTTGTTAACCTTTCATTTCAATAAGAAAATACGGAGCAATACCGTCATGGCGGCATTACCCCGAAGTAAAGTGACGGAATTACCCCTCGAGAACAACATGATGGATATATCACTACATACAACAAAAAAAAACCGAACATTTAAAAGCAATCTCACTGAAAAGTATCTAAGGTATCATATTATTAAAGGAAATATACAACAAACCAGTTAAGAACCTTATTATCACACTTACCTCGAGTTATAAATACGGCAGAAGTAAGTATGAAACTATAACGACTTCACTGATATTCGCAGGAACTAATAACTAACCTTGAACGTGGCAATAGCTGTAGGCACTGATCAAAGCACGCTCAATTGGAAGCTGTCTTAGCAGCGTTAGTCAGGTGCGTGCAGGACTAATATTTTGTAAAAAATACTCGGTGACGGAATTGCCCCGTATAACGGCATTACCCCGTCCTCCCCTAAACAAACCACTGCAGAAACAAACCTATTGCATTTGAAAAAAAAATAGGTATTTAATATTTAGGTATGGATAAGTTATGTAGTACCTATTTACATATATTTTGCATTCTTTATGTGGACATGACATATCCAGATCAGATGTCATTTAGGTGTTAATCAAATACTAATATAAAAAAGGTTATAAAATAAAACATCCAGGTGTAGCTAAGCTATAAGAAAAAACAAATAGAGAAAAAATAAACAAAGTAATAAACCTTAACCCTAGTTTTCCCAGACGACATAGCTGGATAACATTGAATTCATATCAATAAACTGACGAAAATAGGACCAGTTCTGTTCTGCGAATTTCTTCAATAATTAATTTTTGAATTTTCTTTGAAACCCGTTCAATTTTAATTATCTTGACTTTATTTCACGAATTTATTCGACAATTAATTTTTGGTGTAGTCTTACCAAAGCGATTCACATCTGGCACGTGTGGGGAAAACAATTAAAATTACCAACTATAAATATTTT